CTAGACATCTAAGGTCATGTAGCACTATAGTTAATGTTAGTAAAAGGTGGTTGAGTTAGTGGTTAGTTGTCTAAGCTGGGCAAAGGAATTGGTGAGTTAAAGGGTTAAGGTCGGGTGTTAGATTAGATAAAGGATATGTATGCGTTTGAGGAAAGAGAACAGGTTGTTGATGCAGAAAGTGTGGGATTCTGTAAGGATGTCTGATAGGTTGGGAGGTCGGTGAAGGGAGGATAGGTGGGGGAAAGCAGAGGTACGGGCTGCTTCAAAACGTGGGCACGACAATAGGATGTGTACGATTGAAAGGGGAACATTACATAAGGAACATAGGGGTGGATCAGATTGTGACATCAGATAGGAGTGTGTTAGACGGGTGTGGCCAATGCGTAAGCGGGCGAGAGCAGTCTCCCAACGTCTGTTCCGATGAAATGGAGCTGACCAGGAGGAGATTGATAGTTTTACAGAATGTAATTTATTAGTGTGGAGGCTTGACCAGAAAGATTGCCATCGTTTATACAAGAAGGTCTTAAAGTGTGGGTAATAATCCGTGGCTGGGATACGTGAGAAGCGTGGTTGGTATGATGTGGACATAGCAGCGTGGCGTGCTAGTGTATCTGCCTGTTCATTGCCGGGGATTCCAACATGGCTGGGCACCCAGCAAAATTTGATTGTTTTGTGGCGTGTGGACAGGTAGAACAACCAGTTCTGGATCTTACAAACAAGGGGGTTGGTGCTGTGTATTGACTTTATGAGAGTTAATGAGCTACGGGAGTCAGTAAAAATTGTAAAAGAGGAAGAGGAGAGTGAGTATATGTGTTTTAGGGCAAAAAGGAGTGCATACAGTTCAGTAGTAAGGACACTGGATTCAGGAGGAAGGGAGTATTTGAAAGTACGAGTTGGGAATATTACTGCAAAACCAGCACCAGAGGTGGATTTGGAGCCATCAGTATATACGTGTATACTAGAGGAATGGGTGGAGATATGGTCAAGGAAATGGATGAGAAGGACAGTAGGAGGAATATTTGATTTTGGTGGGTCGGGGAAAACAGAAGAGCAAATATGGGGGTGAGGTATAAGCCATGGAGGGACGGAATGGACAGAGAACGGGAGAGGTTGAAGATGGGGGAAAGGGGAATGGGAGAGGAGGGTATCCATGCGAGTGGAGAAAGGAGTAGGTAAGCGTGGAGATGAAGCTAAGGTAGGAAGTAGGGATTGTGGGATAGTTAGTTTAGTGAGGGGAAGTTGGTGGAAACGAACATAACATCGGAGTGAGAGCAGGGCACGACGTCTAGATAGAGATGGTATGCCTGATTCAGTATACAGGCTCTCAACTGGAGAGGAGCGGAAGGCGCCTAGTGCTAAGCGAAGACCACAGTGATGGATTGTGTCAAGATGGGCAAGGAGAGAAGTTGAGGCAGAGGAGTAGATATGGCATCCATAATCAAGAGTGGAGAGGATCAAAGTAACATGAAGATGAAGGAGAGTTTTGCGATCTGAGCCCCATGATATATGGGATAGAGTTTTTAAAATTCGAAGGCGGCGGAGAGCTTTTTCTTTAATGTGTAGAATATGGTCTCGCCAGGTCAGTTTGGTGTCAAAAATGACGCCTAGGAATTTGCCAGAGGAACGGCATTGGAGTGGAGTGCCATATAGGAAGAGTGGGGGTAGGGGATTTACACGTGAGCGAGAGAAAAGGATGGAGAAAGATTTAGAGATAGAAAAGCGGAAGCCATGGTTTGTGGCCCAGGAAGATACTGATGAGATTGCAGAATTGAAGAAATTGGTAGAGATTTGGTATGGATGTACCAGATGCATAGATGGTTAAATCATCAACATATAGTGATGACCGGGCTCCTGGTGGTAAAACTGAGACAATATCATTAACAGCTAGAAGGAATAAAGTGGTACTGAGCACACTGCCTTGTGGGACACCTTCGATTTGAGGAAAGAAAGATGATGTGGCAGAAGCAATTTTGACCTGAAAAGTGCGTTGGGAGAGGAAAGACTTTATGAAGACACCCATGTTTCCACGTATGCCTAGAGAGGACAATTGTTGGAGAATATGGTACCGCCATGTCGTATCATATGCTTTTTCTAGATCAAAAAATATAGCTAGTACGGATTCATGGCGTGCAAATGCGGATGTAATATATGTCTCAAAATGAGCAAGGGGGTCAGCTGTGCTTCTGGCACGGCGAAAACCGAATTGGGAAGGAGAGAGAAGATTGTGAGATTCAAGATACCACATTAAGCGGAAGTTCACCATTCGCTCTAATAGTTTGCACAAGCAGCTAGTTAGTGCGATGGGGCGATAGTCTTGAGGGAGGGTACCCGATTTATTGGGTTTCAGGAAGGGAAGGATAAGAGCTTCTCGCCAATTAGGAGGAAAATTTCCTGATGTCCATATGTGGTTGTAAATTTTTAATAGGAAGGATAAGGAGGAAGATGGGAGTTGCCGGAGCATACGGTAGTGAATACCGTCAGGGCCTTCATGAGTGTTGCGGCACGATTGTAGGGCAGTAATGAGTTCAGAGGAAGAAAATGGGGCATTATAGGACTCAGCGGAGGATGGGGTGAAGGTAATGGGGGTACGTTCTCTGGTGGTCTTGATAGAAGAGAAGTGTGGAGAAAGGTGAGAGCCACTACTGACCTGGCTGAAATAATCACCCAGTTCATTAGCGACTTGGAGAGGATCAGAAATGAGGGTATCTCGAATATGGAGGACGGGGGCAGGATGGGGGGGATGTTTGCCTGATAGTTTATGGATTCGTCGCCATACATTTGAGATAGATGTAGAGGATGTAATTGATGAAACATAATTTCGCCAGCTATTTGTTTTACTATTCGGATTGTACGACGAAGACAGGCAGATGCTCTTTTAAAGGAGATAAGGGCTGATAGTTGATTTGGAGTACCTCTCTTGTAGCGGTAACTGTTCCAGGCTGCACGTTTTAAGCGAAGTGCTTTAGTGCAATCAGAATTCCACCATGCAACACATTTAGAGGTATATGGTCTTGAGGTTCGAGGGATAGCTGTATGTGCAGCTCTTAAGACTGTAGTTGTGAAACATTGTATCATTTCTGAAATGGAGGTGAGGGAGGATGGAGGGGTATGAATAGCAGAGAGTGAAGTGAAAGTATGCCAGTCGGCTCTATCAAAGCACCAGCGTGGGGAGTTAGGAAGTGGTACGTATGAAGTAGGAGAAAGGAGAACTGGAAAGTGGTCACTATAGGGAAAGTGGTCTAAGACTGACCAGTGGAAATCTATATGAAGAGAAGGGGAGCATAGAGAGAGGTCAATGCATGAAAAAGATTGCGTGCGTGTATCAAAGTGTGTGGGGCGATCTGAATTTAGAATAGTAAGGTCAGCTGTGGAGAGGAAGCGCTCTAGAGATCGGCCTCGGGAGTTGGTAATAGAATCACCCCAAAGAGTGTGGCGGCAGTTAAAGTCGCCTACTATGAGGAAAGGTGGTTGAAGTTGGGAAATTAGATTTTCAAAAGCAACAAAGTCAATGGGGTGGGAAGGGGAGAAGTAGACTGAAATCACTGTGATCCAATGATGAAGGAAGATATGAATAACTGTACAAGGGACATTGGTTTGAAAGGGTGGTGTGACATAAGGTGTTTTCTGATTGATAAGTATAGACGAGACATAAAGGGAATGTGGGGAAGAGACAAAATGATAATTGGGGATTGGTATTGGAGGATGTGTAAGAAAGGTTTCTTGAAGGCATACAATAGATGGGTTATAAGAGGAAAGGATATGACGAAGGTCAGGTCTGTGGGAGCGGAAACCGCGAATATTCCAATGAAGGATAGTTATACTTTCGTGATTTAGTGATATAGATTGCAGTACGTGTTGGAGACTTTGAGGGGAATCAGCTAGAGGGTGGGATAAGGGACTGAGAGGTTTGAGATGGGAGAGATGTGGGAGTTGGTGTTCTATCAGGAGGGGTATTAGGAGATGGAGGGTCTGAGGAAGGGGATACTTGTGACATAAGGGATTCACGTGTGTATCCAGGAGGGAGTGGAAGGGATAGAGGGGATGGTGGGAGGGTTAATGTGGGCTGGGTTGGGGTCGGGGTCGGGGGGGATGGGCTGTGTTGGGAGGGGGTAGGAGGATAGGGTGTAGGGGGGATATCGTTAGGAGGGGGATGGATATCAGCAGTTACTTGGAGTGTGGAAGGAGCAGGGGTTGTAGGTTGAGTGTCAGTTTGCATTAAGTAATCTTGAATATTTTCAATAGTTTCTTCTGAGGAGTTGGTTGGGGAGTTGTGGGGGATAAAGGATTTCTTGTGAGGGGGGGAAGAGAGGACTGGTGTTTCAAGAGTAGGGGCAAAGGATGGTGGAGGTGATTGCGTGGTAGGGAAGAGGGGGTGGAACGTTTGTTCTGTCTGTTACGGGGAGTGCGAGGAGGGAGAGGGGAAGGTGTTGGGGTTGTAGTGGTGATTGGAGTATCTGTAGTAGAGATTGGAGTTTCTGGATTTAGGATGGCAAAGAGCTAGACTGGGGAAGGTAGGAGGTAGAAGTGGGGGGGTTAGATGTAGGAGGGGTGGGTTTTAGGAGAAGTGTTAGAATGAGCAGTATTACTGGAGTAAGGAGGTAAGAGAGAATCCACGTCGACGTGCTTCCTGTCTGGCTTCACGCAGTGTGAGTCCAAGTTTGAATTTGAGAGTTGCTACCTCAGATTCAAATTTGTAGGTGGGACAGCCCCTATAAAATATATTATGGGGGCCGCCACAATTGGCACATGTGCGTGATTGTGCAGAGCAGTTAGATCGGGTATGGCCAGGAGGAGGTTGGTATGGACGAACAGGGAGGGATTCTCCTCCTATGTAGACGTTAAAGGGAAGGTCATGTCTGCGGAAGGTAATTTTGGCTATGTTAGTGGGTTTCTTTCGATGACCTCTGGGGGGGATTGAGTAGCATTGTACTGATGTTGCATCGTAGTCTGTGAGACAGGCAAGTAGATCTTCTCCACAATCTGACCAATCTTTGTCCGGTGCAAGTATTGAGGGTTGGATGGGGTTCTGCTAGGATGGGGTTACCATATTGGTCAGTTAGTTTTGTTAGTGCTATGGCTTGGTTTTCGGATGTTACTGTTACAAGACGGGAGCGGTCGGGTCGGCTACGGAAAGAGACTTTACCCTACTTGTTTTTGGAGGCATTGTGGAAGAGAAGGGTGTTGTCAGAGTAGTGGAGCTGTGGGAGGGATCACGAAAAATCGGTCCCATTTGGCTGCACTGAAGAGAGTATTCAAGATTGTTTTAGAGATAGGGGTTGGTAGAAGGGCGAGGGCGTGACGAAGATGGAGTAGTGTTGATGGAGGTAGTGTTATGGAGAGGTGGGCTATAAGGCTGTAAGGTATTAATAAGGGAGGATGGGGTGGTTGAGTTGGAGGTTGTGGGGGTAGAGGTGTTGAAGTTGGGTATGCTGGGAGAGTGGAAATGTTCCTTGAGGGTTGATTATTGGCTACTGTACTAGTAGGCATTGGTGAAGGGGTAGTTATTGCAGTGTTCGGAGCCGTGGTCAAAGGAGAGCCTGGGGTTCGGGGAATCAGGTGGTTTACTTCGTTGGGGCTATTTGATAAAGGGGCAAGCCTCATTGCCCCTAACAGTGGAGATATATTTTCATACTGGCCATGGGAAGCCTGGATTATGTTGGGGATAAAAACAGTCCACCCCTCAGGGTCCCTTGAGGGGTAAGGGCTAGATAACTAATCAGGGGAATACCGTGCCCATGGCTCCCTCAGGCCGTTCAGGACTGGCACAAAGTCAGCCTTTCATCCTTTCAGCACGGCTCTCACACCTTAGGAGGTGGATAGCAGAAGGGTTTGGTGAAGGGATAGAACAAAAGTGGGAAGGGAAAAAAAAAGACCATGCATAATTAGTTGAGTCGAGGGCTGAGTCCCAAGGTTGGGGAGTTCCCCATCATTGGGTCCCAGTCTCCGCCTCCTAAGCCCCCCCACGACAACAACGGGCAAGGGATTGGGGGGGTGTTGCTATTGTTACGATTATTGTTACTATCATTATTAATATTATCATTATTATTATCAGTTATCATTATCATTATAATTATCATTATCATTAATCTTGTTATTCCTATGACCCTTATCATCATTATTAGCACTATTACTACTATTGCTATACAGTTATGATTATTACTATTATCACCACAATCATTATCATTATTATTAATTATCATTATCATTATTACTATCCTTATGATCCTAATCATAATTATCATCATGATCATTGTTAACAGTTTTATTATCAATACTATCATCGGTATTATCATCAGTAATATTATAATAATAATTGTCATTGTTATAACCATTATGATTATTATTGTTATCATTATCATCACCATTACTATTATCATCTTCACTATCAATATGCTTATTATTGTTATCATTATTACTGGCATTATTGTCACTACTGTTATTATTAACATCAGTAGTAGTAGTGGTAGTATCATTATCATCGCAACTATCACCACTATCAACATCATTATCATTAATGATATTATCAAGTATTATCATCATTTATAGCAAAATTTGTAGTAGTAGAATTATCATAATCATTTTACTATCATTATTATCATCATTGTCATTATCATCATAATGGTCGCTGAAATCATTAGAACTATCACTGCTATATCACTTTATCATAATTTACTAATTTCATCATTGTTATTCATTTTGGGTTCTGTTGGTTTTTGTTATGTTATCATTATTACCATCATCATTAACATCATCACCTTCACCATCATCACCATCACCGCCATCACTGTAGAATATTATAATTCATCTCGTTTCAAATTTTTCAAAACGTACTTTGCAGAGTTAGACAGACAGGGCTGTAGAACTTATAATACACGCATCTTCACAACGCCTGTCTTTTTACACCCAGTTCAGATGGAAAGTAATTGGCCTTTGAAGAGCAAAATGGAGTGGTAGGAAAAGAGAGAGAGATAGAGAGAGAGAGAGAGAGAGAGACAGAGAGAGAGAGAGAGAGAGAGAGAGAGAGAGAGAGAGAGAGAGAGAGAGAGAGATAAAGGAAGTAAGAGAGAGAGAGAGAGAGAGAGAGAGAGAGAGAAAGAAGTAAGAGAGAGAGAGAGAGAAAGAGAGAGAGAGAGAGAGAGAGAGAGAGAGAAGAGAGAGAGAGAGAGAGAGAGAGAGAGAGAGAGAGAGAGAGAGAGAGAGAGAGAGAGAGAGAGAGAGAGTGAGAGAGACAGAGAGAGATGAGACAGGAATGGAGAGAAGAGGGGAGAACGAATGCAAAAAGAAAGAGATAAAGAGAAGATTCGCCATACACACAAACACCAACAGAACGCAAAATGCATTAAAATAAAATGCCATCTTACATTTCACTATGAAACCTGACCTAGACGATCTACGTTCACCAAAAGGAATAAATGCGTAGAAAAGAAAAACAAAACTAAAAAAACTAAAAAACTAAATGTTTTATGACTCGCTTAACGTTGAAGCGAGACGTGGCGTGAT